AGGAGTCTGAATGGTTTAAGATAAGCAGAGTGAAGCAGTGTGACGTTATGTCTGGTTTCATGTTCCTAGTTGTAGTTGACCTGATTATGAAGAATGTTATAGGGGAATAACACAGAGATCAGGTGGAAATTTAGAAGATTTGGAATTTGCTGATGACATTGCACACATATGCAGTCTAAAGTATCTAATCTAAATGAGTTTGCAGCCAAGACTTGTCTTATGATTAATACAAGAAAAAACAGAAATGTTGAGACTAAACAGCCAATCCAAGAGCAGAATATTCATAGATGGCCACTAGTAAAATGAAGTGAACCAGTTTATTTATCATCACAGCTGTGGGGGTGATGATATAAACAACAAAATCAACAAAGCAAAGGTGTCTTTGATTAAACTCAACAATATTTGTAACTCTAGCATTAATGAAGAACCAAAGTGAACAGTTCAAGTCACTTGTATTACCAGTCATACTTTATGAATGTGAGACATGGAAAATCTATATGAAAGTGACAACTAAAAACAATTCAATTGAAATGTCTGAGGAAGATGCTAAAAATGAAATAGATCAGGGATGAAGTCAAATGCAGGAGATGGAAATAGAAAAGAGGATAACTGCCATTGCATGACAGCCCTCAAATGGACACCAGAAGGCAGAAGAAAAGTAGAATGTCCTAAAATCTTATTGAGGTGGACAGCAAAAGAGGAAAGAAAGTTATTGGTGGTGGACATCAGGGAAGGTGGCTAAGCCAATTGCTAAATACAAGGTACAAGGGAGAGAAAACCTTGCATCCTTATGGGTCACGGGCCCGAAGAGGATAGACAGACAGAAATCAGATAGATAGGTAGATGACAGCTTTATGTCAAAAATTAGACGTATTTTAAAGATCCAGTATACAATAATTGCAAATATGGGTTCAAATTGATTGGATATGTGCTTTCTACAGAAAAATTTATGGTATATGAAAAAATAATGTACTGTAAAATGACTAATTTTCACTGGGTTTAAATTTCGCTGATTTACTATTTCAGGCATATTCAGTGGGTTTTAAATTCACGGTTTTATCATTTAGATAATGTGTTCTATGCTAAATTTTACATATTCACTGGGTTTTAATTTAGTGCATTTTTCAGTCAGCGAAATAAGCAAAATTAAAACCCAGTGAATAATTAACCCTTTTACAGTACTCTAAACTTCAAAGTACTAGCCTATGTTAGACCATAGACCCTCTAAAAAGAGGGTCTATGGTTAGACCAGTAGTAGTACTAGTAATATTAATTGCCTCTATTTCACTTGTACATGCATAGCCAAATATAGGAAAACAGACGCATCAGATGCTGCTGCTGTTGGGTTCAAATGCCATCAGCCGCTTTGTTTACAGGGTGCAGATAAATTATTTAGGTCGTTACATTACACAATCTGTTGCCTAGCAACTCAATGACCTGTATTCAATTTGTCCATCTGTTATCCATAATCCCATGCAGAATTAATATGGTTTGCAGAAACATGAAAGAAAATTCTCTCAAAAAATAAATAGAAAAATATTTAAACAGGTTGTTTAATTTAGTTATTAATCTGCAATATGTGGTCTGTAATTCAGCTGTTAGAAAAAACAAAATAAAGCAAAATGCTACTTCCTTCATTATCTCTTGCTTTATTGGTTCATTTTGACCTACGTTAATGTGCACTGTTGTTTTTGTAGGAGGAATATTTTTTTTTTTTTAAAAGCACACTAACTTTGTAATTTTGCTGACATGTATGTAGGGTTTGTATAAAACTATGGTAATGTACATGTACACTGGTTAACAGCGCCCTCCCTCTGTTACGTATAGGTCCCTTTTGTTGTATCAATGCAATGCACACAAGCAGAATAGCAGCATCTGAATCGTATGGTTTTATCAACTCAATATACAAAGAACCCATGTGTGATTCTCCCGAGAGGTCACGTAATTGACCTTGATAACATACGGTACATAGATTTGATTGGAAAGTGCATCTAAAACATGTGCCCAATCAGAGTTGCTCAGGGATATGGCTATGGAAATAAAACGAAATGTGTCGAATAACCAAAGAGGGCGCACTTACATACACATTTTCTAAAAATCTGCCAATGTGTGGTGGGGACACGATTGCTGAAAGAGCAGCACTTTCCTGGTGAAGGAACTTAAGTGATTATCTCTGCATCTTATTAACTCTAAATCATTTTGTTTTCACAGCTATTAATTTTTTGATTTGATAATTTTAAAGTATTCATAGGAATAAAATTCATGAAAGTTTTTGTGACTTGCTGCTATCCTTGGTACATAATTTTGTAATTTTCCCAGACATTTTTACAGAATTCTTCTCTAATGCTTCTATTTGTTTATACTTACAGAAGGTAATTTACATAATCCTGCATTGTTTAGTGGCCTGCAGCCGAATATATGCGAGATGAGTGAACAGTACTTCATTATGGTCAATAAATACCCGTGCCCTCTCTCGTATATTCGAGGTCATCTCTTCAAACTATGGCATCATGCGTAAGTAACACTTGGATCACAGTGTACATGTTGGTTTTGAGAATTACCAGCACAAAATAACATTAATTCATTGTCATCAGTAACCTATACAACATTTGTTATTCTGATTCTTATGACAATTGTATGGGGTCTTTTATGTGTGATCAAAACACCAACCATGTGGAAATTACTATGTGACTGCATTAATGACTGAAGCATTGTAACATTTCCACCAATTTTTAATTTTTTTAATCATGAATTCTATATTTATTTAGCAATTATAGTGGAGTAAGCTTGAAAAATCATCAGATTTTCACTGTCTGAAAAACAACATTCACAGTGCAGTGCATCTCAAACCCTATGTAATCCTTACATGTTGTACTATTATAGTGTTGTTTCTTGAATGTGCTGATTTCATGCAGTGAAAATTTTCAAATCAATTAGGCAAATTTACGGCCAATGTTTATTATCTTCCTGAAAACAGTCTGTTATTTTTACCGACAATGAAAATACGACTTTGTCTCCATGGTACATGTATTTACTTATCAAGTACCTTAATTTCATGATCGACGGTGTTACCATGACCAACAAAATGAATATTCATTGAAATTCATTGCAAGAAGGCATGATTTTTGCGAATTTGCAGTACCGGTATGGATCTTGCTGACGAGACATGTACTATTCTGTCAGGCATTAGTGTGGTCTGATTCGGGCCGGCGAGGGCGCCACTCATGCCTACATGTCAGGCTAATGCCTGGGCCAATCACTTTCAAACTTCACACATGCATTTACATCTTAAAATATACATGTGCATGTCCATTTATTTCATGATCTGGTCGTGTATGGATGGATTTTGTTCATAATTAGCCCTTGATGCATGTCATTTTGTTTTTCCAATCAGATTCAAAATGGCTGACTGGTGGTTCATTTTCTTAACAAATCACATTCAAACTTTATAGATACATCATATATCAGGTCATACTATGCACATACATTCATCTATCAGATTCAAGATGGGCTAATGGCAGTCATTTTAATGTTATAAATGATTAAAATCAAGCTTTTCTGCACCAGACATAATTTTATCCCATTTTGTTCATTCCAAGTTTACAAGTACATATTGATCTGAGGACAGACCTTGCCAGGGCAAAGAATCTGGAATCTATAAAACAAGTCAATGATGAGTTGAAAAAAAGATGTCAAGAAGACATGAAAACTAGTAATGGTTTATTAAATGGAAAACTGCCACTGCCTTACTGGATTTGTCAGCCATTTGTCAGAACCAGGTTTGTGGGTCAAGTCTTATTGCACAACAGAAATCAGGAGAGACAACAGTAAAATTCAATCCTTTGGATCTGGTTTAAAAAAAGAAAGAAATGTAAACCAGGTTATCCCCTAATCTGTAATGGTGTCGATTTCAAAAAACACAATGTGTGCTGCTTGTGAACTCCATAGGTTGATGATATATGACATAGGCCATCACCATGCTGCTCAAGGACTCCCTAGTTTGGTGATATATGACATAAATCATCAGCATGATGATTTTGGCCTCTTTGGACTGGTGATATATTATAGGTGATATATTTTATAGACCATCGAAATAAACAAGACAAAATCATAAAAGCTTGA